CGGGGGGCGGTGATGGGGTGGGGGTTGGGGGTCGGGGGGGGGGTGGTGGGGGGGGGGTGAGGGGCGGTGGGCGGGGAGGGCCTTAACAGGCTGAAAGGTAAAGAATATTTTATCTAATTACTTTTCTATTATTCATAATATTTTAATCAACAAACCTTTGGCAATTGACTTTCATTTTCAATTTTATTTTTCACAAGTTGATTATGTTTTGATTTAAGTTTATTATAAGACCAATGACGTATTAATTGTAAATTCATACCAAGTGCAAAGCATTTCTTTAAACGACAAGCTGAACAAATACTTCTTGTCTTTTGTGTTATTTTACAATTATTGTTAAATTGGCATCGAAGATTAATCTTTTTGATTGATAGAAAAGAGAATATTAACACTACTGATAAAAAATTCTAAACTTACGTCTGATTTTAGTATATGCCGTCGAAAAAATACTTTACAAGGCATACATGTCATGACATCATAATTGATTCCACGTGCAACACCACCACATACAAGACAGATTAAAGGCAAATCAGCTGTTCGTTTTGTAATCATTGTTGATTTTTATTCAATTATATTCATCTAAAAAAATATAATTCCGTTTGAATCTTATAATAACTTTTTTTAAATGATAAAATAAGAAAATCGTCTAAAAAATGTTCTTCTTACATATGTATGTATGTAAATATCATGTAGTGAAGATCTACACATATTTCTTTTCCTTGTCATATGTAAAACATTGCTCACCTACTATTTTTTTCACTAATAACAATATGTCGTTTCGAGAACCTATTATTTGATAGTTTCCACTTATATTTTGACTAATAAAATATAATGAAGGTACCCATATGATTCATATCAATAATCAACTGACAGTAGTTTGATATTTAAATGGTTGGTTACCATCTAACCGCCGTTATACCACGCTATACCGATAGTTGTTCTTCGTTCGACAATTGACTATCGTTATATCGGTTATAGTACAAACAAATATGCAATAGAAGAATTCATTTATGAAACATTTATTTTAAATCAAAAAAACATTACAAACTAATTGTTTATTTAACAGATAACTGTCATTCGAATTTTAATCGTATGAAATTCTTTGTTTTTGATACAATTAGCGAACAACATATCTGCAGAATTAGCATTAGATTTCATCCTTTTGAAATCGTAACAATATTAAGTAAAATAAAAAGTTCTCGGTCATTATGATATTGTGTAGTACATTATAACAAAGATTATTCTCAGTATTTAAGCACGACAGATTGCTTTCATAAAATAATCTACTTAAACAAGAAAAAGAATGTATCTCATGTTTTTCTGTATTCTCATTTGACGTATACGGAGAATGTATATCAAAACTTCTGTACTTCAATGCTATAAGATATCGAAAAAGTTTTTATGGTTTATGTTTTGAGCTGTCATTGAAAGTTTATAGAAAATCTAGACTATAATTGAACCTCGAATTTTCAATCGAGGCTTTAAGTAAAGCTACAATAAAAGAACAACCGTAAGTCATAAAATATTGATTCGCGTCTTACCTGGTATAGAACACTATTTGCTCTACAGCCATACACAACTAAAAAATTTGGACCAACTTGTTCTATCATCACATTCTGCTATTTCTATGAAAAAAGAAGATGACTTCTCATACGTGTTGTCTGTCGTATCTAATTCCGACAAGTTTTTTTCCTCATTAAATTCCTTTTTTTTTCTATATGAAAATCTATTCTCAATATAATATATACAAAAAGAAAGAGGTTAGCACAATTTCAGTAGGATTAATAATTTCTTCATCAACTTTTACTTAATCCTCGAGAAACGCGATAAGAAAGTGGCTCATTTCTTATAATGAATTTTTGCTCATCTAATGGCTTTATTTTGCATATGATAAAAATTTAATTTAATTATATCCAAAGTTGCACAAAATCTGATGTGCATGTGTTCGACATGTATTCGTTGATAAGTCATGAAAATATAGTAAAAGTTTAATAGGTCGTGGAAATCTTAAATAGAAAAGTTTTATTATATTCAAATAAGCATGAGTAATATATATATATATATATGCGTTTATAAAAGAGAAAACTTTCGATCATTATATGGGGAAATATTTACAAAAGCGACTAGTGAAATGATATAGATCAAATCTAGGAAACTCATTATTTTTCAACGATATATTCATCTGGAATAGATTTATAAAATAAAATGTAAATAAGAAGAGAAGAAACTTAACTCAAAGTTGGCTGTCTATTTCGAATATCTCAAAAGTCAATAATACTTCGATCTCTATACGTCATGAAGTACATTAATATCAAATAAGAAAAATTAGAATATTATTCATCGTATCTAGCATTATGTCTGCACGCACATATATATATGTATGCTACCTTCTCCCTATCATTTCTCTCCTTATATTTTTTCTCTCAGTGTCTGCTTCTATTTTCTTAGTCTTCTGTTTTTTTATAATCATAAACCAATTCACTGCTAAACATGCAACCTAAATACTTTCCTCGCTTTAATAAACTTAAGCCTGTAAAACTAAATTGTAAATGGTCACGTATCGTTTCATCTTTATAAAACCAGCAACTTTTCTTCTTTGTGAGTGCTTCCCAATGGAACAATAAACATACATTATAAAAGAAAAAAATATTGTAAGATTTGAACAATGATTATGAAGAAAACTAAGTAATATAATCAATAATGATACTAATTAAAAAACATGATGGTTATATATTTCAATAAACCTTTAATAATTGTTTTTGCTCTTGATAATTAATTTAAAAATGTCGAATATAATTTGATTTCATTTGATAATATTGACAATGACTACCAAATAATTTTTAGTTCAAACTCAATAAGCACTTATTATAGATTATGTTATTTCATAATTATTGTCAAGCTGATGGTTTTGAAGTTAAATATTTTTGATTGATATAAAACAGAATGTAAATTTTTCTGATAGGAATTTTCAAAAGCATTCTTGATTTTAGTGTATGCCGTTGAAAACATATTTTACAAGGCATACACGTCATGACATCAAAATTGATTCCATATACAAGACAGATCAAAGACAAAAACAGATGTTCGTTTTGTAACCATTCTTGAAGTTATTTTTATCTAATTGGTTTTATTGATAAAAATATTGATTGAAAAAAAATAAATAAACACGTGCTTGTAACGATGAATATAAAGATTATATCTTTCGTTTTTGACATTAAAAACTTTTTAGCTACTTTGTTTCCTTTTTATTAATCTATTGTCAGAAAATCAGCTTTTTTCAATAATGTAATCTCACTATTTTTATTAGTAAAAAAGTGAACTAATTAGTTTTCATAGTCAAAAAGCTTTCTTTGTTAAAAATATTTTTTTTTTGTTTTTGGATGCAAGAATAATGCATTGTATTATATTTCGTCAAGAGTATGTCTTATGCTAATAGTGAATCATTTGACTTTGATAAAATATTTCAATAGTTTTATACAAATAGAACATCATGACAAAATGATTTTGATTCTTCTGAAATTGAGAGACATTGAATAGAGATCGACATGACTGATGATTATATTGAAGAATATGGCTAATGTCTATTCAAAGTTAGTTACGACAAACTTTTAATGTAGCTAAATAATATTGTATTAAGAATAAATTTATATTCTTCCTATGAAATTTTGTTGTGATTAAATCAGATGCACTAATTAAAGATGATTAGAGTAGAGTGCGATCCACACATTATCTTAACATGAATGGTGTCTTTCTTGTCGGTTTCTTCCTTATTCCCACTCAGTCGTTCTGAACATTGTATATCCCATCTAAATGCAAAAATTTCTCATTGGTAAAAGGCCATATTTTGATATTATCTTTGGTGTAATTATTTAACACCCAATGTGTAAACTTAACCCTTCTTTGTTTTTGAAGGTTGGGCAATTTTGATTTCTCAATTATTGTTTTACGTTTGGAAATTAGAACTTCGACTCTATGAATTTGTAAGAAAATTTTTCGTATGTCGAAAAGTTGTTCTCAGTAAAGTTGATTTCCAATTTTCTCCACTAATTCGATATCGATGAAACTTTTAGAGAATATTCTTCTATATCTGGAACATATGGTTAAGTAACGCAAATGCTTCTGGACTGAGATATGATTTTCTGAAAACCTTAATCTATAAAGGTTTTTATCACTGAATCATTCTGAGAGAAAAATAAAGACATATTTTGCATCAACGTGGAAAACTGCATAGACTAACGTACCATTTGTCGATTTTTGAAATAAAAAATTTTTCCAACGGAGCTGACAGTAAGAGTAATCCTAAGAGATTTTCCATTGTTAGTCGTCTTTTTTTTTTTTTATCAATCTTAATTTTGAGTACAAAAGGGCCTAATATTTCTATGAAAAATAAAACTCATTTTCGACAGCAAATAAGTTATATTCATTAAACTTTCATTAGTACAGACATATTCTAAGTTTGTGTTAATTATATAGAATCTTTCTCATGAACAATATATCAGTTCAAAAACGAGAAATCAGCTGAAATACCATTTTCGATAGTTCGTATATTACACTTTTTCTAGGCATCACAAAGAACTTTTTTCTTATATTGATTATATTTTTGAAATTCACCTACTGGATGATTACATGTTTTATAAACGAATATAACTAGAAATTTTTTCTAAACTCATGTGAAACTTGATGCTAAACACATTTTATTGAAAAATAAACACTTTTTTTTTTAGTTACAATCGTACAAGATTACAATATGAATGACACCAATTTATAAGAGAGATCACTATACATATATCTATACATTTATTAATAGATATGAATATGAATCACGTTTTCACAGAAGTGGTTTAAATTAGTGTACAACTACGATGTTTAACAAGAGTCTTCAAAATATTCAATAAATACAGTAATATTAACTATTGAGTAATGAATTTATTATTTGTATTTCAGTTTTTCATTGTCAATGAACGTTTTGTTTTTTCCACAATTGTATCGACTAAATTGTCATGATGTGCATTTCTCATTTCATTTGCACTATAAATAATATCAAGAACACATTTTATTAAATAATTAAAACTTCGTACAGCTCCATTGAATCCATAATGATAATTTAAATATTTCCAAAACATCGTGACAAGTACATTTTGTATATGAAATACAGATAGTGTACTAGATAAAGTCATTATATTATTTGAATAATGAGAATTGACAATTGAGCAATTAGTCGAAAATGCCATAATTAAAATCATTAATTTAACAAATATTCCATTTGGTTCTAATCGTGCAGTTAAATAAAAAGATTGTTTAATAACTTTATCTCCGTAAACTGTAGCACAACTAGTTAAAAATGTCATATTTTGTAATGCATTTATTTCACGCATAACAAAAACGGAATTTAATGTACCAGCTATTTCAGAGTTATTTTGTACAAGTGCTTGACGCGTACCAGTTGGTAAATTCTGGAAATATGGTGAACGTTCAATAAATGGTTGAAATGTTGAGAGAAGAACTCTAAAAATATCGATTGCTTTTGATGCTTTTGATCGTAGTTTTGGTGGTAATGATGATTGTTGTTCAAGTTGATATTTCATTTGTCGAATTACATTCGCTTCATCATAAGCATGAATCACATTTGAAAGAAGATTCCATTCATTTTTTGTAAGATTTGAACGATCATTATTAAGAAGACTAAGTGGTAAAGGCTATATAACAAAAAAAAAAAACTTTTTCAAATATAATAACTCTATATTTCAACAAACTTTTGG